CGAAAACCACTGCTCAAACCCATCCACCAGGATCCGCGCCGCAACCCGATTCCTATAAAGGTCTAGCCACGGGCACATCGCGTTTACGACCAGCGTCATCGCCCTTAGTCCCTGTGACAGATCCATCTGTATAGACTGATATTGCTGGTTCGTCTGTTTTGCCTCTTTTTGTGGAATTACCTGTTAGTCTGTTTCAAAATATACCGAACAAAACTACCGAACGGACGGCCACCCAGGAGAGAAGTGTGCTGCTGGTTAACCTCTTGGCCCCAATTAGAATGTTGTGGTTAACCGCAGACACCTCTTAATTATAACCGAATTCAGGGTGGTCGTCGTTCGTATGTCGACACTAGGCGGCGGCCATTTTAAACCATGCGAAAGACCAGCGGTGTTCGACGCAGATTCTATGGAACTAAAAATTGACACTTTTTCTACCGAACACCGCTGAAACCACAGACCACCCTTCTCAGTTGACAAGACATGTGAACACCGGCCATTCGGAATGGAGTTTGCATTATTGCGAAAGGGGAAGCTCAAGTAAACAGTCATAACAGTCCCCATGTCCCCTTTCTCGCCCGTTTTGCCCCGCATGAAACAACAGGAGACAGGATGGGCCCCACCGCAGCCGAAGCATTCGTGCTTAAACCGGCACGAGGACCCCCAATTACAGTGACTGTCATTAAATTTCCAACAATAGCCAGACCTCTGACTGGAGGCCGACGGGGAGGAGGACATGCCCCCCACCGCCCCCCCAAGAAAGGACGAAAACGCACCCTGCTGGGGGCTGGACGAGTCACGATGGAAAGCCAGAGGTCAATATCCATCTGATCCCACGACAGCGAGGGACGCACTGCCAGATGCTGTCGAACTTGCTCGTTGTACCTCCACCAACCCAGCCCCCCATAGGTGCGACAAGCGTTCCAGATCTGGGTTACTTCTGGGTTACTTCTGTTATGGTACCCTCAGCATGAAATGCACAAACCGCCGTTTAGTGAATGCTCCCCGTTCGCAATATCCCAGGCTGCATGTGTATCCAGTATAATCAACAAACCGCAAGCAAGGGAACGCTGTAAACTCACGAACGGGGTCCGTATGGGCACTTCACTTCACAAGCTCCAAACTCACAAATCGCCAATAGCAGCTGAACGCAGGTATCTCCCAAGCGGCTAATAATCCCATCCAGTAGTCTCTAGTCGTCGGTAATAAATCCCCCCAATAACGAGACCAAGCTCCGCATTGAGGGTAAAACAAGAACTGGCTTTACTGTGGGCTACCTGCCCATATTTATGCAGGTCTCCCACTTGGTGGACACTCCCCTAGGGGACCAAATGGGAGACTGTGACAACAGATAGACATATGGCAGTTCAGGACCCACAGACACAAAATATTCCCAGCATGCAATAGTAATTCCTCCCCTCTGCCCTGGAGATAATTGAGAAGTAATTCAATTATCTCCAGGACAGAGGCAAATCACCATTTTACATTCAACACATAAAAACACATAAAAATATATAACTTTACATTTGTCGAATGCTACCCATTCGTATCACATATCCCCAGATAGCCTGGATCTGAGTGCATATTATTGGCGAATAGCGCTCAGATCCCATACGCATAGTTCAATCGCCATGGAGTCAAAGTCTATTCCAGTTCTTCGGTATGCGATTGACTCCATGGGAAAGCTATCTGGGGTAAGTTCATTCGTGCCTTTAAACCTCCTGAACGGCTGGTGTTCGCACACTTCTGTCGATTGAGAAGGGAGGTCAGCGGCTTCAGCGGTGTTCGGTTGAAAAAGTGTCCGTTTTCAGTTCCATGAAATAAATGTCGAACACAGCTGGTCTTTCGCATGGTTTAAAATGGCCGCCGCCTCGTGGTCGACATACGAACGACGACCACCCTGTATTCGGTTTTAATTGAGAAGTGTCTGTGGTTAACCGCAACGTTCTAATTGGGATCAATAGGTTAACCAGCAGCACACTTCTCTTCTGGGTGGCCGTCCGTTCGGCAGTTCCGTTCAGCAGAAAAGTCCATTCACTTAAACAAAGGCATACGAACAGGTAAATTCATGAAAACGGCAAAACAGACGAATCCAGCAATCTTAGTCTATACAGATGGATCTGTCACACGGCTCCCCCCTTGTGGAACACTCCAGCAGACCCGGCTTGACCCTGTGGCGGGTCAACTTGGGGATGACCGGACTAGGAGGTAATAGGGACGTCTGTTTGCCGGGACAATCCATCTGCATTCCCATTCTGCTTACCGGGTAGGTAGCTGATGGTGAAGTTGAAAGGTTGCAGCGCCAAACTCCACCTCAGCAGTCTACCTTTGTCTCCTGAGACCCGGTTAAGCCAGACAAGGGGATTGTGGTCCGTGATAAGGGAAAACTCCTGCTCGTACAAATAAGGGCTCAATTTCTTCAGTGCCCAGACCAGGGCTAAACACTCCTTCTCCACTGCCACATACAGGGCCGGACTGGGAAGAAAATTCGGCCCGGGCATTTTTTAATTACAGTGGCCCACTAAAAAGGGGGCGGGGCCAGATAGGGTGTGTTTTGTCATCACCAATGACAAGCACGCCCCATCACAAAGTGAGCATGTTGGTTCAATGCTCTTCCAGGGTAGACCATGCACAGAGCTCTGCTGAAGAGCTCTGGCATGAGAAAAATACCCTGTATTTGTTCTGCACAGCGCAAGCAAATTTAATAACATGCTTGCACTGTGTTTGCTTGAAATTTGTCTCTGGTGTCTCCATAGTTGGGATACCGGGAGACAAAAATGCCAGGAAAGCATATTGCGCAGTGTGTGTGAGGGGTGTAGTGTGTGTGAGAGAGGGGTGCAGTGTGTGTGTGAGTGATGGGTGCTGCGTTTGCGTGAGGGTGCTATGTGGGTAAGGAGTGCTGTGTGTGTGATGGGTGCAGTGTGTGTGTGTGCTGTGTGAGTGGTGCTGTGTGATTGCATGAGGGTGCTATGTGCATGTGAGGAAGCTGTGTGTGAGGAGTGCAGTGTATGCAGTGGCGGATCCAGAGCCTGATCTCGGGAGGGGCACTTGTAGATTATTTAAAGAAATAATCCAGACACAATAACAACTACAGCCCAGTGTAGTGGTTATGGTGTCAATAGTGCCGGGACCCCCTCCCAGAGTAAGTAGTCAAACCGTTTAAGAACAGTTTGACAACTTACCTGAGGTCTGCTGGGAAATGGGGCAGTAGTAGGGCATAGGAGCAGTGGTGTGTGAGTGGTGCAGTGTGTGTGAGGGGGACAGTGTGTGCGAGGGCGGCAGTGTATGTGTGGGACAGTATGTGTGTGTAACAGTTGCAGTGTGTGTGTGAGTATTGCAGTGTATGTGTGTGTATGGGGCGGCAGTGTATGGGGGCAGTGTGTGTGTATCGGGTAGTGTATGTGTGTAGAGTGTGTGTAGGGGGGCAGTGTGTGTGCATGGGGGCAGTGTGTGTGCATGGGGGCAGTGTATGTGTATAGGGGGGCAGTGTGTGTGTGTATGGGGCAGTGTATGTGTGTAGAGTGTGTGTGTGTGTATGGGGGCAGGGGCAGCGTGTGTGTATGGGGGACAGTGTGTATCAGGTAGATGTGTGTGTAGAGTGTGTGTATGGGGGCAGTGTGTGTGTGGGGGCAGTGTGTGTGTATGGGGGGCAGTGTGTGTATGGGGGCAGTATGGGTGTATGGGGGGGCAATGTGTGTCTATGGGGAGCAGTATGGGGGGCAATGTGTGTGTATGGGGGGACTGTATGGGGGGCAGTGTGTGCCTATGGGGGGCAGTGTGTGTGTGTGTATGGGGGGCAATGTGTGTGTATAGGGCAGTATGGGGGGCAATGTGTGTGTGTATATGGGGGCAGTATGGGTGTATAGGGGGCAATGTGTGTGTATGGGGGCAGTATGGGTGTATGGGGGCAATGTGTGTGTATGGGGGGCAGTATGGGTGTATAGGGGGCAATGTGTGTGTGTATGGGGGCAGTATGGGGGCAGTGTGTGTGTATGGGGGCAGTATGGGTGGGCAGTATGGGTGTATGGGGGCAGTATGGGTGTATGGGGGGCAGTATGGGGGCAATGTGTGTATGGGGGGGCAGTATGGGGATCAGTGTATGTGTGTAAAGTGTGTGTGTGTGATAAGGGTGGGGGGGCTTTTCTTTTTAAATATATATTTTTTATTTGAATTTTTAATATAAATATTCTATGTCATATTCATATTTCGATCCCTGGTGGTCCGGTGGGGATTCCCTGGTGGTCCAGTGGGGAGAGTGAGCTCTAGCCCGCGCTCCCGGCCTAGAGTTCACTCTCGCGAGATTTGGAGTGTCGCCGTGGTAACCGCGGCAACGCTCCAAATCTCGCGAGAGGAGGACCCGGAGGTGCCGCAGCCTGAGCTCCGGGTCCTCCCTCTCCCTCCGCCACCGGCTGTCAGCACAGTGCCTGCGGACCGGGGAGGGAGAGCTCTGACCTTCCTCCCCGGTCCGCAGGCACATTGCAGGGCTGGCGCCTACATGTGCTGGCAGGGGAGAGGGAGACTGGCAGATTTCTCGGGGGGGGGCAATTGCCCCGTTGCCCCCCCCCTGGATCCGCCACTGAGTGTATGCATGTGAGGAAGCTGTGAGTGTCAGGGGTGCAGTGTGTGTAAGTGAGGGTGTGTGATGTGCGTGTCAGGGGTGCAGTGTGTATGTGTGAGGGTGATGTGAGTGTCAGGGGTGCAGTGTGTGTGCTGTGCGTGTCAGGGGTGCAATGTGTGTGTGTGAGGGTGCTGTGAGTGTTATGGGTGCATTTTGTGTGTGCTGTGAGTGTCAGACGTGTAGTGTGTGAGTGAGGGTGCTGTGAGTGTCAGGGATGCAGTGCGTGTCAGGGGTGCAGAGTGTGTGTGTGTGAGGGTGCTGTGAGTGTCAAGGGTGCAGTGTGTGTGCTGTGAGTGTCAGGGGTGCAGTGTGTGTGTGAGGGTGCTGTGAGTGTCAGGGGTGCAGTGTGTGTGTGAAGGTGCTGTGAGTGTCAGGGGTGCAGTGTGTGTGTGTGAGTGAGTGTCAGGTGTGCAGTGTGTGTGTGTGAGTGTCAGGGGTGCAGTGTGTGTGTGTGTGTGTGTGAGGGTGCTGTGAGTGTCAGGGATGCAGTGTGTGTGTGAGGGTGCTGTGAGTGTCAGGGGTGCAGTGTGTGTGTGAGTGTCAGGAGTGCAGTGTGTGTGTGTGTGTGTCAGGGTGCAGTGTGTGTGTGTGTGTGTCAGGGTGCTGTGTGAGTGTCCAGGGGGTGCAGTGTGTGTGTAGAAAGTGCTGTGCGTGTCAGGGGTGCAGTGTGTGTGTGAGGTGCTGAGTCTCAGGGGTGCAGTGTGTGTGTGTGAGTGTCAGGGGTGCAGTGTGTGTGTGGCAGGTGTCCAGGGTGCAGTGTGTGTGTGTGTGAGGGTGCTGTGAGTGTCAGGGGTGCAGTGTGTGTGTGAGGGTGCTGTGAGTGTCAGGGGTGCAGTGTGTGTGTGTGAGTGTCAGGGGTGCAGTGTGTGTGTGTGAGTGAGGGTGCTGGGAGTGTTATGTGTCCTGCTGTGCCCTGATTATATCCCCCCTCCCTGCTTACCTTATGCCTGGGAGGGGGGATCCTGCTACTCCTGCCGCCATCCATCCCTGGTGGTCCAAGTGGTGAGTGAACTCTAGCCTGTTGGGCTAGAGTTCACTCTCGCGAGACCCCGAGCGTTGCCATGGCAACGCTCCGAATCTCGTGAGAGGAACCCAGCGGAGCTGTAAGTTAAAGCTCCGCTGGGGTTCCTCTGCTGGCAGGCTGTCTCCCTCCCTTTATCCCCCGGCGGCCGCAGTATTCTCTATGTGGGCCGGTGAGGGAGATCTCTGATTTCATTTGCCCGGTGTGCCCGATGGCCAGTCCGGGCCTGGCTGCATAACTCACTTCCCGGGGTAGTAACTTTCTGCTGAGATATGCGACAGGGTGCTCTCCTCCATCTTGCCCGACCTGGCTCAGCACAGCCCCCAGTCCATACATGGAAGCATCTGTATTGACGAGAAAACGTTTGTTAGGGACTGGGGCAGCCAGGACAGGGCCATTTACAAGAGCCTGCTTAAGTGCCTGAAACGTGGCTTCACAAGCTGGAGACCACAGGACCTGCTTACAGTGGCGTCTCTAGGATTCATTTTTTGGGGGGGCACATGGAGGGCCAGTGACAAAAGTAGGGGGATACATTTAACCCCGCCCTCATCACAGTTTGACCCCGCCCCTGTCGCATGTTAAGCCACACCTCCGACACAATGTGTTTTGTTTTTTTAATAATACCTGGTGGAGGATTCATTATTTTCCACCAGGGATTATTAAAAAAACAAACACATTATCCTTGATACAGTGCCATAGTTGCCAACATTTGAAAAAAAATTCCAAGGATGTTTTGCAGCACAGCTATCAATTACTGTCTGGGTATAATATCCCTGGACAGTCAGTGCTCTCTGTATAATACAGGGTTGTGTGTATAATAAATTGGGACACTCAGTGCTCCCTGTATAGTGCTGCTCTCTGTATAATACAGGTCTGTTTGTGTATAATATCCCAAGACAGAGAGCAGCACTATACAGGAAGCACTGACTATCCGGGGATATTTTATACACACAGATCTGTATTATACAGATAGCTGAGCATAAACCCCAATCTCTAGACTACTAGTACCTGTCAACAGCAGCTCCCAGACGCGTGTAACAGGGCTAAAGTGTGCGGCAGCTCACACAGATTATTCAGCGGTAAAATGCACTCGCTGGCAGAGCCAAACTGGGAATCCCTGGGAATCCAAAGCAGCCCTGGAAAAAAAACGTATGCCATTCCCACAAGTCATATATATATATATATATATATATATATATATATATATATATATAGTACAGTAAGCACACAAGCTCACTGACATGCGCAAATAGGCTTACTGACAGACAAAACTCTCTGACTCACACACAAGCTTACTACAGACACTCACTTGTATAAACAGAAGGCTCACTACAAAGAAGTTCAGGGACACACACACAAGCTCACTAAAGACAAGCTCACTGACACACACATGCTCACTAAATAGAAGCTCACTGACACACACAAGCAGTACCATTTTAATAGAGTTAAGGGCCCCTGGGCAAAGCAATGCACTGGGGCCCTTCCTACACAACAACTCACAGGAATTTTAATTATTGATAGACTGCTGAGTCCATACACACACACAGACTGCTGAGTCCATACACATACACACACAGATTGCTGAGTCCATACACACACACAGATTGCTGAGTCCATACACACACACACACACACAGACTCTGCTGAGTCCATACACACACAGACTCTGCTGAGTCCATACACACACAGACTCTGCTGAGTCCATACACACACACAGACTGCTGAGTCTACACAAACACACAGACTGCTGAGTCCATACACAAACACACACTCTGCTGAGTCCATACACACAGACTGCTGAGTCCATACACACAGACTGTTGAGTCCATACACACAGACTGTTGAGTCCATACACACACACACATACACACACACAGACTGCTGAGTCCATACACACAGACTGCTGAGTCCATACACACAGACTGTTGAGTCCATACACACACACAGACTGCTGAGTCCATACACACACACAGACTGCTGAGTCCATACACACACACAGACTGCTGAGTCCATACACACACACAGACTGCTGAGTCCATACAGTGTGTGTGTATGAGGATAGTGTATGTGTGTAGAGTGTATTTGTACGGGGGGGCAGAGTGTGTGTATGGGGGGCAGTGTGTGGGGCAATGTGTGTGTAAGCAGTATGGGGCAAATGTGTGTGTATGGGGGGTAGTATGTGTGTATGGGGGGGCTGTATGGGGGGCAGTGTGTATGGGGGGCAGTGTGTATGGGGCAGTGTGTGTCTAAGGAGCAGCATTGGGGCAAATGTGTGTATGGGGAGGCATGGGGGCAGTGTGTGTATAAAGCAGTAAGGGAAAGGTGTGTGTGCATGGGGCAGTGTGTGTATGGGGGCAGTGTGTATGGGGCTGGGGTGTGTGTGTATGGGCAGTATGGGGCAGTGTATGGGGGGGCAGTGTGTGTATGGGGCAATGTGTATAGCAAATGTGTGTGTATGGGGCAAGGTATGGGGGCAGTGTGTGTATGGGGCAGTATGGGGGGTAAATGTGCGAAGGGCAGTATGGGGCAGTGTGTGTATGGGCAGTATAGCAATGTGTGTGTGTATGGGCAAAGGGGCAATGTGTGTGTATGGGGCAGTATGGGGGGCAGTGTGTGTGTGTATGGGGCAGTATGGGGGGCAGTGTGTGTATGGGGCAGTATGGGGGCAGTGTGTGTGTGTGTGTGTGGCACCCCCCCCCCAGCCTACCTGTCACTGGAGGCTGTTGCTGGGGGTCAGGCAGCCATTTTCTGAAGCAGCATGGGCTGCTGCTTTACGGCGGGGGCGGGGCTTATCGGCAGGAGGCGGAGCTTCATTTGGGGGCGGGGCCTGTGCCGGGGAGCCAATCAGTGCTCCCTCCGGCCACAGACAGCCCCCAGCAGCTCAGCACTGCATTCCCTCCCTCGGGCTGTAACAGGTTGTTACAGTCCGAGGGAATCCCATGGCCAGCAAGTTGCTGGCATTTGGGGGGGCCCAAGGGGGGGCACAGCATGATGTAGGGGGGCCATGGCCCCCTCTGGCCCCCCCCTAGCGACGCCACTGCCTGCTTAGGTAAATTCTTCTTGGTCAAGTCCGTCAGGGGTTTAGCAACAGTGCTGTAGTCGGGGACAAAGCGCCGGTAATACCCTACTGTTCCCAGGAAGGCCAGCACTTGGGTCTTGGTGATAGGTGTGGGCCAGTTAGCTACAGCTTCTACCTTGGCTGGCTCTGGTCTTTGGCTCCCACATCCTACCCTGTGACCCAAGTACTGCACTTCTGCCATGCCTAGATGGCACTTGTCTGGCTTCAAGGTCAGTCCAGCGGCCCGAATCTTGTCCAGAACCACCCCTACGTGTACCAAGTGTTCTTCCCAGGACTCACTGTAGATCGCAATGTCATCCAGGTATGCACACGCAAATTCCTGGAAGCCATCGAGGAGCCTATCCACCATGCGCTGGAAGGTAGCCGGAGCATTTTTCATCCCAAATGGCATGACCTTAAACTGGTACAGACCAAATGGGGTGACAAATGCTGACTTAGGGATAGCGTCCTCGGCCAGGGGAATCTGCCAATAACCCTTACACAGGTCGATGGTGGTCAGATAGCGCCCCCTGGCGATGCGGTCTAATAACTCATCTACCCGGGGCATCGGGTAGGCGTCAGTGGTGGTCCGCTCGTTGAGCCGCCTGTAGTCCACACAGAACCGGGTGGTCCCATCTTTCTTAGGCACCAGGACTACAGGCGAGGCCCAAGGGCTGTCTGTCACGTATTCATCCGCTTATAGAAATGTGGTTAATGACATTTACTGTCCACACAGGAAAAGTTGTGCCGAGCAGCAACCTAATCCACAGAAGGTTTAATGCTGAGCAGTAATTGTGCAAATGAAACCTGGTGTCATGTATTCATCCGCTTTTAGAAAAGTAGTTAATGACATTTACTGTCCACACAGGAAAAGTTGTGCCGAGCAGAAACATAATCCATAGAAGGGTTAATGCTGAGCAGCAATTATGCAAATGAAACCTGGTAACTGACTTTGGGGTCAAAGGCCGGTTACAGCATATCAGAACTAAAGGAGGGGTATTTAGGCCCAGTTCTCAGCCTGCTCAGTGCCCTGTCGTGGTTTCCCTTGTGGTTGTCCTAGAGCGCGTTCCTGTTTATAGTTTTCTACCTGGTTTTTTGACTTTGGCTTTGTTTATTGCCTTCTCTATATTCTGGTATCCTGACTCCTGGCTTTCCTCATCGCTGTGTCCCTTTCTGTGTTCCCTGACCTCAGCTAGTATTTTTGACTATTCTTTGTACGTTAAATCCGGCCATTCTAAGGACTGGTAATACATTACTTATTTGTCATCCGTGCTGTACAGTTCTACGTGCTGGATCAAACAGTAATCCTGACACTGTCTGAGTGCTCGATGACGCCCAGCCTGGCCATCTCCTGTATCTCCTTCCGCATTCCTTCCCGGACTGCTTCAGGAATATGATAGGGGGGCTGTCGTAGGGGATGCTGTCGGGTGTCTCGACCTTGTGTACAGCTAGGGTAGTGTAGCCGGGTTCTTGGGAGAACGTCGCCTGCTTCTCCCACAGTAGCTGT